ACTGTTGATGAATTCGAAAGGATGCTTGGCTTATCCCCTGTAGTTCAACAAGCGATGCGACGGGAAGTCAAAGGTGTTTCTGATTTAGGGCCAGAAATAAACAGGGTAAAAGGGATGGCTTAGACGGATAGGTGCTGTTGCTTGCATCATTGATAGGCAGGTTGGATATGCTGGTATGATATCCAATGATTGTCATCCAGTACAGAGGCTAGGATTCAATGGTTCGAGTTAGATCATACAAGAAGCAGTCAAAGGAGTTCTCAGCTCTTTACAAGGGGCAAGAGATCCAAGCCCATGAAGGGTCAATCTTAACAATGAAGTTTAGCCCTGATGGTCAGTACCTTGCAAGCGCAGGTGAAGATGGTGTTGTGCGTGTGTGGCAGGTTTTCGAGTCTGAACGATCAGGGAGTGCTGACATTCACGATGTCGATCCTTCATGTGTCTACTTCACAGTGAATGACTTTTCTGAATTGGTTCCTCTTAATGTGGACAGAGAGAAAGATGGCAAATCAAAGAGAGTGAAGAAAATTCCAGACTCAACTTATGTCATTTTCCCTCAGAAGGTTTTCCGAATTTTAGATAAACCTATCCATGAGTTCCGTGGCCATTGTGGGGAGGTCCTTGACCTCTCTTGGTCAAAGAATAAGGTCAGTAATTGCTATCAAGTTTGAAACAACTTGCTATCACTTGCTAGAATTTATTTGGTTTGTAATTAAGATTTATTTAATACAGCATATTCTATCATCCTCTGTTGATAAGACAGTTCGCTTGTGGCAAGTTGGATATGACGAATGTCAAAAAGTATTTGCCCACAATAATTATGGTAACATAGTTGAATCCATGCTTGAGTTTTATCATATCTTATTTTCGGTTATAGAAATGTCTATTAAGGTGAGCAATCACCTTTGGCTTTGTGATTTATACCATTATAATTGTTCTTGTTCTTATTGCTCTGTGAGACAGTAACATGCATTCAATTTAATCCAGTGGATGATGATTACTTCATAAGTGGTTCCATAGATGGGAAAGTGCGCATCTGGGAAATTCCAGGTGGTCAAGTTGCTGATTGGACTGACGTGACAGATATTGTTACCGCTGTCTGTTATCGTCCTGACGGAAAGGTTCAGTGGAGCTTTTCTTAACCATGTTATTTAGCAATTGACTTTTAGGATTTTGAGTTCATTAATTCTCTTATTCTGTCTGCAGGGTGCAGTTATTGGTTCTATGAATGGAAATTGCCGCTTTTATGATGCTTCAGGTATATCTTCAGTTTACTAGTTCCCTTTATGAAAAATCAGTTAATCCGATACTGCTATTCTGGGATCTGGAAACTTTTACTCTTTATCTAGCTGTCACTAGGACAAACCATACTCTTCTTAGATTTGAGTTTGACCATTTTTAATACATTGAAGTAGAATGTTGAGAGGATATCAGTCAGAATTCGTTTTTGGCTGAAGGAAATTAAAAACTTCAAAAAAAAAAATTCTTTTCTGTTAAACATTTATGTGTCAGAAACTTGTAAGTTTGGAGTCCTGCAGAGATCAAGAGGAAATGAAAAGATTATCTGCTGCCTGCTAATACCACTAGATCTAATTTTTGGTGAAAGAGTTGGCCTTCTGCTAAAATTGTATCATCCAAGTTGTTAATAAATAACTTGGGTTTCCTTTTGCAATAAGAAGGGGGATGCGGTGAACATCCCTTTTGAAATTCCTTCTTTGTACTTTCTGTGGAACCTTCTTGTTTCATATTTGTGGCTTCCATCTTCTTTAAGCTGAATATTTTTGTACTTATGATTGACAACATGGTAGTTGACAGGTAATTTGCATGTTTTATCTCATCCAAATACCATGTGCTCTCTAACAAACCTATCATAAATGCCTTTTTGGAGGTTAAATTTGTTTGGGAAATACTAACTGGTATTATTTATGCGAATCAGATAACCATCTGCAACTTAATGCTCAAATATGTTTACCCAGTAAGAAGAAATCAGCATGCAGTAGGATAACTGGATTTCAGGTATGATGATTACCATATGTTTTCCTCAGTCTGCTGTTGAAATATATGTCCTTAACCAAGATTCCAAGCATTGAAAATTAATAAAGAGATTATTATGTAGTTTGCACCTGGACCCGGATATTAATGGTTACTTCTGCTGATTCACAAGTTCGAATCCTCCATGATGTTGATGTGGTCTGCAAATTTCGAGGTTGGTAGTTATTTGCCTGATTAAATTGGTATGTTAATGATGCATTGAGATGGAAAAATAAGTGTTGCAAGTAGGAGATATAGTAAAAATTTATCAAAGTTTGAACAACCAGAAATGGAGTTTTTGAAGGAGATTTTCTCAAACTCTATCATATGAAGATTCTTTTCCCCTTTTGGGTCTTAGGTGAATGGGAAGTGAAGGCATACATGTTTTATCGGTTGGGAGGTGTGGGGAATAAAAAGAAGGAACGATTTAATACATGTTTTAATTCATTGTTTCCTTACCAAAATGGATAAGAAATTACTACATAAAATTTGGGTGTTTTGGTTCACTTTTGAAACTCTTATTAGCTTGCTCAGTGATTTACTCTTTTGTTACTTGGCTATATGTTGTCTACAGGTCTGCGGAATGCAGGGAGCCAGATATCTGCTTCATTTACCTCAGATGGAATGCAAATTGTTTCAGCAAGTGAAGATTCTAATGTCTATGTGTGGAACAATGTTATCCAGGATGGCCTGGTTCCCCAATCAAAAAACAATTGGTCTTGTGAACGCTTTTTCTCAAATAATGCATCAGTAGCCATACCTTGGTGTGGCATGACATCTATAAACTCTATTTTCTCAAATATGGCAGGAAGTGTGCCATCACCCAAAGTTTCTTCTAGCACACAGACATGTAATGGGAGTACTGGGGTATTACAGTCTGAGTTAAGTGAGAGCTCTCAACACAAATTACCATTCTCCTCTTCTGAACGTTTTTCTCTGGGCCATAGATTTTTCTCCGAATCTTTGCCCAAGGGTACTGCAACCTGGCCAGAGGAACAGCTCCCCCCTCCAAACTCCTTGGTTGTATCATCTGCAATGTGTAAATCTCAGTACAAGTTGCTTAAGACATCTTGTCAGAGTGCATCTCATTCTTGGGGCCTCGTAATTGTAACAGCTGGTTGGGATGGACGGATCAGGTCATTTCAAAATTATGGATTACCAATTCACCATTAGCTTTATTGAAACGACTTCAAAATTTTGCCGTGGTTGTTTTTAGCAAAACAAGAATGATGTCACAGATATTGAAGCTTTCGCTGTCCAGATTTGTGGGGCTAAAATCATTTATGCTTGGTTGATTTCCAATTTGTGCATCACCGGGTGTAACTTACGTCCAAAGTGGTACCAGTGGTATTGAACCGACATACATAAGTATGAGCAGTAGATCTGGATATCAAGGTGATACTTTTCCTTTTACCGGCCAACTAAGGTTGTCAGGCTTGTTACAGTGGAATTAAATCTTAGTTATATTCAACATTCTTTTCATGTACTTTTAGTTGAACCGGATGTCTGAAAATGGCCAGTTGGATTTTATTGGATATTATTCTTTAATTTGTATATTGAATATCCACATTACATGGTCATACCAATTGATTGGTCCCATTTGAAGTTGTCTATATTGCTATACAACTGGAGATGTTTTGATGGGGTCTTTCTGGGAGACAACTAATCGGCCAGAGTGCGCGCGAGGAGTAGATTTATAGCTGGTGGACAAGAACTACATCCGAAAATACCGATGGGGTTAGTTTGCTTTCATGATTTGTTGGGTAGTTGAATAATAATTGGCAGTCGCAATGCATTAACAGGTTTTGGACCATACTGGCGGCTGCTTGCATTTGTCAAAATATTGGTTTGTCTATTTCGATATTCCACTGATGTGTTACATTTGGATTGCTGTTCTTATGTCATTAGGCCAATGCTACGTCTTCTGTCTTCAACCTATGAGAGGTATTTGGTCTGAAAAACATTGGTTTCTTAGCATCAAACCCATTGTGATGAAGTTAAGTAGTAATTGACTAGAAGCTCTGTATTTAATTTTTGATTACCCAACTGCAATAATTGGATATAGAAAAGAATTCTTTGCATATTAACGTTACCTTTTTTTTCTTTCTGAAAATTAGTACAAAACTACAATGTTGAGGTAGAGAGGATACAATATGTGAAAATGCATTAAAATTTTAATGGCGGATGTGCAGTGTTTATATGGTTTGGTTTCCATTCCCTCTTCTCGGTGGTAGATTTAGTGAATTTATCGAATTTGATTGTTTGGGGTCTTGGCATACATGTCATTATATTATTTAGATATGGACTAAAATTTTGATTGACCTATCTTTGATATGGTTACTCTTTCCTTCGTTAACCAAAGCCGATGGGCTATTCGTATACAGGAGACCGAAATCTGATTTCACATGTGGCCGAAACAAAAAGAGTGGTGGATATGGGAAATACTACTGTAAATGAGACTAGTTGAGTTTGTTTGAAACTGAGTTTTGATTCGAAAGTTTATGAGTTAGAATTATTATGTTCGACTTAAACATGAAATTAAAGATTTGAGTTTGAAATAATTTAAACTCAAGATTTTTAGACTTATTTCGGTTGGAATTCTAACTCGAGTTCAATTCAAGAATATGAACTTTAAGTACAAAAACTTATATTGTATTATTTTTAGAGAAACAATGTATAAATGTTAATATTATTAATAATTTAATTTAAAAAATCAAAATTTTAATATATTATTTTTCATGTTGCTTGTCAACTTTTTAAGTTGTTCGTCAAGTAGCTTATTTACGCGAGTTAAGGATTCGAGTTGAGTTTGAGCTCGAATCAAATCTATTTAAATTGAGTGTGACCAGTTTTGATTGAGTCGAAACTAAACAACTTGTGATATGTCTTATTTTATTTAGTAGCTTACGACATGTTTTATCTCATTTACTTACATGCTATCTATTCATTTACCATGTTAGGAGATCAAAGGAAAAGAAATGTGGGATTTTATTACTCCAATCTTTTCTTGTTTACAAATACAATTTGCCAATTCCAATTAAAGAAATGGAGCGGACCATATAACACACTTGCACCCAAAGCAAAATACTTGGTGAGAAATATCAAAGAAATACACAAGGTGATCTAGCAGTGAGGCAGGTCTGTAGGAGGATGAGGCAAAGTCTCGAGCTCTCCCTTTCCATTCTCCACTGACAACACCGCGACTAATCCCCACGATTGGTGTATGTCTAAGTGGCAATGCATAAACCAAACCCCTAAATACCACTCAAACAAATCACATTAGTTAGTTTAACAGCAAATATAAGATTTCAATTTTGATTATGAAAAGAAATACATCTTACCTGGATTGTCAGCAACAAACCGAATTACTGCCCATCCGCCAACGGAGACACCGATTGTGTTCCTATAAGGTGGATTGATCAAGTTGAAGTTTACAATCTGCGGATCGAAGTTCTCCGAACCATATCCGACAACATAGAAACTGTATCCATGGAGATGAATCGGGTGGTTTTCAGTTGTGACTGTGCTGGTGTCCTGGAAGATAATTTGGACCCTGCTTCCAAATTCGATGGCCTTGGTCCTAGTTCCATTGATGGCCTGTGTGTTACTAGGAGCATTGTTTGGTGCCCCATTGACAAAGTCATAGAATTTAACGGGTGCCCCGGGGAAGTCCTCGGTGAAATGGCTATCGATCTTCTTATAGTAAGCTTCTAAAACAGATACAGTAGGCTTCACGAAGGATGTATGCTCATGGAAGCTGCAAAATCAAGCCTAAAATCAATTAATCAAAGTGATGTACCGATGCACCAATCCATGCATCGATGCACCATGAATTAAATTGAACATCGAATGCATTTCATGCATCGATGCACATACCATGCATCGATGCACTGAGGATTTTATGAAAACATCGAATGCATCGATGCACTCTGGCTATTTTGAAATATCGAATGCACTTGATGCATCGATGCACTCTTAGTGCACCGATGCACTAAGGGTCCAACGGTCAAAATATTTGAATTTTACAATGATGCACCGATGCACCATGGGTATGCATCGATGCACTGACGCTCCCAACTGCTTTAATTAATTGTTTTCACACTTAAATGACTCTATTGACTCCACTAACCATCCCCAACGTTCAGAATCATTTGAAGGAGTATTTAAACAAGTCTAGAAGCCATTGATCAACAACTATCAAGAAGAAATCATTTTGAAAGAGAGAAAGCATCAAACATCAAGTTTGTGCAATTCAAGCCAAATTTCCTTTCAATATTCATTTTGCTTTCAAGAACACAATTTGTGCTCAATTGTAATTATCTTTGAGTGTTCTTATCTTGTTCTAGAATTTTGCAAACAATCTACCTTGTGAGGATTTCCTTGTAAGTGTGCAAATTTGTAAATCGATGTGCAAATCTTTTCAATTTTCTACAAAAGCTTCCATCAAAATTTTAATTGACAATTCACCCCCTCTTGGTCTATTCCATCGATCGATTAACTCAACAATTGGTATTAGAGCCTCACTCATTTGAAGGTTTAATCGCCTCTTGAGTTGATTCGGTAAGAGTTACATCGATTATCAAGTCATCAATGGCCTCTACTTCAAATGTCGACTCCGGTCTCGATTCGATGCCCGTCAACAAGCCTCATTTCTTCAATGGAGCTAACTATGCCTATTGGAAGAATAGGATGATGTATTTCATTCAAGCAAGTGACATGGGAGCATGGAATATTGTAGAAGACAAATATATCAAGCATCTCACCCATCCAAGATTGTGGAGTGAAGGAGAGACAAGAATGTTCCAGCTCAACTCCAAAGTCATCCCTATCATATTTTGTGCTCTTGGACCAGATGAATATGGAAGAGTTTCATCTTGTACAACCACCACAGAAATATGGGATAAACTACAAGTCACTCATGAAGGCACCGACGAGGTAAAAGAATCTAAAATTAGTCTTCTAACACATAGCTATGAAAATTTCAGGATGAAACCAAATGAAGATATCAAAGCTATGACGGATAGATTCTTTACGATTGGCAATGGTCTCAAATCATATGGAGAGATTATTCCAAACGAAAAGCTTGTGAGGAAGTTAGTTTACTCACTTCCAAAATCGTGGCAATCCAAGAAGACGACAATCATCGAAGCTAAGAACCTAAAGTCCTTAACTCTTGAAGAGCTAATTGGTTCCCTCTTCACTCATGAAATGATGCTTGAAGATGAGGTGGACCTCGATAGGATTGATGAGACACCAAAGGAGAAGGAAAAGAAGAAAAACATTGGAGTTGCTCTCAAATCCACAAAAAATGAGAGTGATTCAGATGAAGATGGCGGGGAAATGGCATTGTTTGCCAAACGGTTCAGAAAAATGATGAGACTTTACCGAGGAAGAAAATTCAAACGAAATGAAGGCCTAAAATATGAACCAAAAGAGAAGGACCCTATCATTTGCTATGAATGCAAAAAGATGGGGCATATCAAATATGATTGCCCACAATTGAAGAGAAAGGGTCAATCAAAGAATAAGCACAAGGCTCATGTGGCTAAATAGAGTGATGAAGAAGGTTCCGATGAAGAGGAACAAGAAGTAGCAAACTTATGCTTAATGGCATTCGGGGAAGATTCTAAGGTAACTTCTAACTCATCTGAATTAGATGATTTATCTTATGATAAGTTATTAGAGGAATATAATGGGTTGGCTTCGGATTATGAGAAATTGTTTTTAAAATATAAAAATGATGTCTCAAAATTGAAAAATGAAAATAAGCTCATATCCAAGACCAACAATGATTTTGAAAGTAAAATCAAAGATTTGCAAATCAAACTAGAAGAGTTTGAAAGAAAATTCGGATTTGCAAAATTTACTTTCAAAGGTCAATGATGATCATCAAAAGAAAATTGATGATCTTAAAGCTTCTTTTGATAAAGTTGGAACAAAACGTTTTGAAAATGGAGAAAATTCAAAATCCAACTTTGTTAGAAAAAGTTTTAAAAACTACAATCATAGATGTCCCCGGAAGAACCTCTAATGGAAAAATCGTTAAAAGTATATGGGTTCCTAAAGGACTCATTACTACTAAAGATAAAGATATCCTAAACAAATGGATACCTAAGGGGACTAGGATTTTGGAAACTAATGAATATGGACCCAAAAGAATTTGGGTACCAAAAATTAGAAATTAATCTATGTTTGTAGGAAAAGGAACATTGCTATAAGGCACGAGAAACAAATTTAAACTCATGGTACCTTGATAGTGGATGCTCAAGACACATGACCGGGGACAAAAGCCGGTTCATAGAGCTTAACGCCAAAAATGGAGGAGAAGTGACTTTTGGTGATAATTCAAAAGGTCACATCGAAGGTATAGATACCATAGGTAATACCTCTTCCATACAAATTAAAAATGTTTTATATGTGAATGGATTAAAGCATAATCTCTTAAGTATTAGTCAATTATATGATAAGGGATTCAATGTCATGTTTGAAACTAATGGTTGTAAAGTTATTGACATTGCATCTAATCGGATTATGCTTGTTGGTCATAGAATAAGAAATATTTACATGGTGCATTTAGACTCTATTGATATGACTAATTTATGCCTAGTTGCTAAGGATGAGCATGATAGTTGTTTATGACATAGGAGACTAGGACATGTTAGTATGAGTGTTTTGCAACGGCTAATTCAAGGAGATTTAGTTCGAGGGTTGCCTAAGCTTAAATTTGATAATGATAAAATTTGTGATGCTTGTGCTAAAGGAAAACAGAAGCGAGTTTCTTTTAAATCCATTAACGATGTATCAACTAGTAGAGTATTACAATTGATCCATATAGATCTTTTTGGGCCATCTAGAACTACTAGCTTGGGTGGAAAACAATATGCATTTGTCTTGGAAGATGACTATTCTAGATATACTTGGGTTCTATTCTTAAGTACTAAAGATGAAGCATTAGAAAAATTCATCACATTTTCAAAAGTAATCCAAAATGAAAAAGGTTACTCTATAACTAGTGTTAGGAGTGATCATGGAACTAAATTTGAAAATCTTGGATTTACTGAATTTTGTAATTCTAATGGTATTAGCCATAATTTTTCAGCACCTAGAACCCCCTCAATAAAATGGAGTTGTTGAGAGGAAAAATCGAGCTTTAGAAGAAATGGCTAGAACCATGCTTTGTGAAAACAATTTGCCAAAATATTTTTGGGCGGAAGCCATAAATACCTCTTGTTATGTTATTAATCGAGTAATGATTAGGCCTATTTTGAAGAAAACTCCATATGCACTTTTTAAAAATAAAAAGCCTAACATTAGCTATTTTCATCCTTTTTGGATGTAAATGTTTTGTTTTAAACAACGGTAAAGACAATCTTGGCAAATTTGATGCTAAAAGTGATGAAAGAATTTTTCTGGGTTATTCCTTAAATTAGTTGTTTTCGATGATAATCTCCTTCCGAGGAAGGATTCTTGTGTGAATGATGATGTAGGCATTAAAAATACGAATTACGTTAGATATGACGTTGAGGAACCATCATCAAAGGAAGAAGCAAAAGATGAGGAAACTCATGATCCTCTCGAGAATCCAACCATTGAAGAAATGGAAGTATCTTATCCAAGAGAGTACAACTATGTCAAGGATGGTGAGATTATAGGTGATCCGTCCAAAGGGGTAACAACTCGATCTTCTCTTAGAAATATTTGTAATTATGTTGCATTTATCTCATGCATAGAGCCTAAGAATATTAAAGAAGCATTAAATGATGAACATTGGATTATGGCTATACAACAAGAGTTAAATCAATTTGAGAGAAGTAAAGTATGGACATTAGTCGAAAGGCCTAGTAATAAATCTACTATAGGTACTAGATGGGTATTTAGGAATAAGCTTGATGAGAGTGGTAATATAGTGAGAAATAAGGCTAGACTTGTTGCTCAAGGGTATACTCAAGAAGAAGGCATAGACTATGATGAAACATACGCTCTCGTTGCTAGGATGGAAGCAATTAGAATGTTATTATCATTTGCATATTTTCATGAATTTAAATTATATCAAATGGATGTTAAAAGTACATTTTTAAATGGTTTTATAAAGGAAGAAGTGTATGTGGAACAACCTCCTGGTTTTGAAGATTTAAAATTTCCAAATCATGTTCTTAAATTAAAAAATGTGTTTTATGGTTTAAAACAAGCTCCTAGAGCTTGGTATGAAAGATTGTCAAACTTTTTAATTGAAAAAGGTTTTTTCAAAAGGGAAGGTTGACACTACATTGTTTTTAAAACATAAAGGTAAAGATTTATTAGTAGTTCAAATTTATGTTGATGATATAATATTTGGCTCTACTAATGATGTTCTTTGCCAAGAATTTTCTAAGCTAATGCAAAGTGAATTCGAGATGAGCATGATGGGGGAGCTCTC